ACCGGCACCAATTTTTGGCCTATTTCTACGTCATGTGTGCGACGTTTTTGGCCGCGTTGGAAAGCCTGTCCCGGCAGACGAAAAGCAGGACCTTCGTTTGGGACCAGATCGGTTCCGTTGACTGGCTATGAATGAGGTTTTAATGAGGGTTTCGGAGTACCACTAAGGCGGTTCTTTGTCTCAAGAAGACTGTGGGGGCGCCTCACTACCACACCACCACGTAGTCAACTAGCAGATCTTGGTGGAAAGGGGATTCCAAATCCGAAGGTATAATTTTCTGCTTTTATCGGTGTTTGCTCTTTCTGCAATTGGCTCACAGGAGGTTTCTGAGACGTGGGCAAGTTTCGCTGGAATGGGCTTTGGTTTGGGCGGCGATGCATGGCTCTCAGCTGGCGAGATGCGGGTCGATACCTTCTTCCTTTGGGGGACGTTCTTTGAGGCGCATGCGGAGGCCAATAATGTTGGGAAGATGGGAGTTCGCCACGATGATTGGCCGGCTAGCTTGCGGGAATGCTAGACCTGGTCTATTTCCAACGGCGCCGCTTTCCCACTTCTAGGGCTGAATGTGCGCAACGGAAAATCTACTCATGATGCTTATGCTGGTTCTTGGTGTGATTGACGCGTGCTTGTGGTGACTGTGAACAGCTAGCTTGCTCGGCGTGTTGAACGGATGCCATGCCGAGACTCTGATTTGCTCCATGCGCGCTTTGATCCTGGAGGAACAATAGAGAGAACTAAAAGTGACATATCAAGTAATGCTATGTATGGTACCCGCCATTGCACTTTTTTAACACTTTGCGAGCAGTAGCCCTAGATAGTCTCACTAGTCACCACCAGTGGCATGGCTAAGCGCGCTCCTTGATGCCCAAGCTGTCTTAGAGGAGTCATACTAGTATTTGTTTATTTTTTGCATCAAGGCTACGAACAAGCATGGAAGGGCAGGACAAAGGTTGAAAAAGAAAACAGTGACGATTATAGGCAGGTAGCTAGACAAGCAATGGACCTGCGTTGCCGCACCGTGCAGCTGCAGGATGAGAGTGGCCACCACGTTGGAGAAAAGAACAAAGAAGCTCAGGCTGTCCCCAGTAATCGCACCATTCAAGCACTCCGGTGTCTCCAGTACCGCAGCTTTTGAAGTGCGCGCGGCAGCCATCGTCTTGCTGCCACCTGCTGTCCCCCCACTCTCTTCTTTTTCCGCCCTTGAAGAATCTCGAAGGCAGCACCCAGGTAACAACAACTCACGTCAAGTCCCCCATCGCTGCAGCCAACAAAGCCAACAGAGCCAACAAAGACACTCCTTCGCTACAGCAGTTGGGCTCCACTTGGCCTTGTCCGATCCGTTGTGTCGCAGCCACGAGGTTAAGAGGCTTCGCCTTTCAAGGGTCTCTGCAAGGATCGGCCAGGCTCCGCTCTCGTCCTCTCATTTCTCCTGCGTTGACATTGCAGCGAATTCGGAAAGGCCATCGCAGCTACAACCCCAAATCTCCATCTCCACAGTCTTACGGCCTTTTCGCGCATCGCGATCGCGACAAGACTACTGCGAAGCGGTGCTCATTTCCACCCGATCGTCCCTGCAACAGCGGCCCAAGCACGCCAATCTGCTGGATTTTCATCCTGGTACAGAGGACCTGCCCGCGCCTCACCGAGTAGAGAACTGTCCACCATCACGTCAACAGCGCCCGACCAAGTCCATCGAGCAGAAACTCAACCGAAAGTTCTACTACAGAAAACTGTGTGAAGACGCCAACCATGGTGAAGGTACGGTTCTACCACTACCGCTAGTCATAAGCTCTCGGACTTGCGTGACGCATCGTCTAGGCACTGACAATTGCGCAGTTTCGAAGATCCATGAAGGGAGACAAGGCGGACCACAAATCGCAACACATTTCAATACCTCCCAAAGACGCAATAGCAATTGTGCCGCCGAAGAAGGTGAGTGGCAAATTATCATAGTTGTCCTAACTACCCCACCAAGCCGTTGATCAGGCAGCGAGGCTACCTCCACAACCGAACTCGAGCTGACCGCTTCGTCTTGTTCCCAATTTAGGTCATCAAAGCCCTCTACGACTACCAAGCTCCAAATCAAAATCCATCCTCCGGTTACCTGAGCTTCTCTCAAGGCGACTTCCTACATGTAGTTAGTCGAGAAAACGATACGGACTGGTATGAAGCGTGCAATCCACTGCAAGGAACAAGGGGACTCGTTCCCGTCACGTATTTTGAATTGGTGGGGAAGACTGTGAGGGACAGCGGAAGCTCAACCAAATCAATTCCTTCGAGCCAACCTAGCGCAGGACATGATTCCGGATACGCAGAAAAGAGTTCGACGAGCAGTAGCGCAAACGGCAACGACGCGGAAGGACTGAAATCAGGGCACATGTCAAAGAGCATGAAGGGCACCGGAGCCATGGTGTACGGCATAGTTATGTACGACTTTAAGGCGGAGAGACCGGACGAATTGGAAGCAAAGGAAGGAGAAGCCATTATCGTTATAGCGCAATCTAATCCTGAATGGTTTGTCGCCAAACCAATCACCAGACTCGGAGGACCCGGGTTGATTCCAGTATCGTTCATCGAAATTCGAGATATGGCAACTGGACAAGCCGTACCTGACGCGCAGGAAGCTGTACAAAGAGCAGGAGTACCAAAGGTAGAGGAATGGAAGAAAATGGCGGCAGATTATAAGAATGGCAGTATTCCTCTAGGCAAACTCGAGTCCAACTCTGCTCAATCACTCCAGCAGGGTATGGAAAGGATGAGTTTGGGCAACAAGAGTCAGGCAGGGTATGACGCAAATGGATATCGCCAAGGGGACAATGTAAGTTTTGCCAAATTCATTTATCCGTTCTCGAAGCTAACTGGGGGTTGTTTCAAAGGGTATTTCGCATTCTCGAAGCCCCAGCGCATATCAAAACCAGCATCAATACCGGCAGTCCGAATCACAACTTCTTGCTCCAATGAAAGCATGCGTCCCTCGGTATTGTTTCGCGGACGATATCTTTTGGTTCATCATCGAATGCCAGATGGAAGATGGCAGGCACTGGGAACTCCAGCGTCTATACCAGGACTTTTACGACTTGCAGATCCAGCTTATTGCTGCTTTCCCAGTTGAAGCTGGTACTACGCCGGGTTCCGAACGAACACTTCCTTTCATGCCTGGACCGGTCACATACGTTACAGACAACATTTCGAATGGTCGTCGTGCTAATCTTGATGAATACATCAAAAATCTTCTGAAACTAGGTCCCCACATTACCAAGAGTCCCCTCGTCAAGACATTTTTCGCGCCCCGCCGGGATGACTACGAAATAGATCCGGACGTTATCGCAGCAGAAGAATATCGTCTTTCTCAAACTTCACAACATTCCTCGGGCCCTTCACAGGGCGCTTCTCGTCAATCTTCTGCCGACCAACTGCAATCACAAACCCCGCAAACTCCCTATTCCGCAATCACCAACTACCCCTCTCAGGCAAATCATCAACGTGGCCAGCCTTCAATTTCAAGCCAACAGCAACAAAGTGCACCTCAGCATTATCGCCAGCAATCTGATCTCGCCCCATCAATGCTCCGCCAGAACTCCGCTCTCACCCAAAACTCTGCTTCGTCTGCCAACACAACTAGTGCAGCTGTCAAGATCAAAGTCTGGTTCGAGGAGGATAATTGCGTCGTCATCCGCATGCCGCAAATTTTTCGCTATGCCGACCTGTACAAGAAGCTGCAAGAGCGGCGGGCACTCGAGAGCGTGGGGGATGGAAATGATGAGGAGTTGGTTGTTGAGTACAAGGATGAAATTGAGGGACACTTCTACCCAATCGACAGCGATGAGGATCTGGCGATAGCGATGGAGAGGAATCCAAAGTTGACGCTGAGTGTGACTGCTATGAGGTAAGGATACTCGTCCCAGAGAACTCCTGTTATCTTTCACTCTTTTTTTTCGATTCTTCGATTGTAGGATGATGGGTGATAAGAGTGAGAGATCCGTCTACTTTCTGCATCCATTCGGGCTCTGGTCGGGGCTTGATGAGTTAATGATGTGATATGATGAGGATGGATGATAGGAGGTCATCTATCAAAGGCGTTTCTATCCTTTCTTATCTCTTTCTTCTGGATTACGGGTCAGGGTTGGGTAGGTCATTCTTTTCTGTGAGGTTATGCTGGAATGGGCACGATTCGTGAAGCCCGGAGGTTGGGGCACGGATGTGCGGGTGCGGGGAGACACGACTGTACCTCGAATGGCCTTCACGACGACGCGAAGCCTCTCAGCCTTTGTTAATGTGTTTTCCACTCTTTCTTCGGTACAGCTGCGGCTTTTTCATCTGTGGATAGTATTTGGATCGGTTACAAGGCGTGCTTGGCGTATGGGCGCACCGAGCGCTTTCTCTCTCTCCTTTTGTCTTTGATATGTCTTATCTTGGGATTTTTTTTTCTTTTGCTTGATGGCTATCGGTTACCTCTCAAATGGTTTTCCTTATGGTCCGATGGATATGTGTTAAGTCGTTCGAAGAAGGCAACGGGTATGACTTATCGTGGTGGACTATGTCTTCGGTTGTACTTCGAGAAACAGAGTATGAATTAGTGCTAGGTTGTTTTGTTATACGAAGATGGATATGTTACCTTTTTATCCAGTGTGCTTACAAGTGTCTTGTTTCTCCTGGCTCGTCCCGGTAGTGGAAGACTTATGATCGCGGAGGGGGAACAAGTAACCCTCCAAACTATCTCTCTTGTAGCATAGGCGTAGGACCTCTAAGCTAGCCGTATCAATTTAGGGGTATGCTGTTTACTATGCGTCTAAGACCTCTAGAAGTCCTCTAAGCAATTTTGCCCATGCATAATGACCCTAATTTGGCTACTCGCTCCAGAACCCGCAAGATATTTTTTCCACCTCCAAAGCACACAAGGAGTAGAAGAAATATCTCAAAATTGATCTCATACAACCTTTCCATGCCCTCAAAACGCCAAAAAAGAACGTACAACGCCCAAAAAAAAAAGAATTAAACTATTCCGTCGCCGGGAATCGAACCCGGGCCTTGCCGGCACCATTAAGTGAAAGGATCTTCAAGATCCCATGAACTCTGCTTATGAGAGCGGCAAATCCTAGCCCCTAGACCACAACGGATGTTTTGATGTAGAGAGAGGGAATTTTTTAGCATTATATACTCTATATTAGTGTTGGCTACAAAATTTGAAAGCAAAGCTTGGAACGGGTTGTGGGTGGTGTGGGAGCCTAGGAACAGCGGAACAGGCTTTGTTACCTGGCGTGGGGGTTTACGCATAAAAATATTTGTTTCCAGGGTGGGGTTTTTTTAATGTGTGGTGAGATTTCACCCCCTATTCCTCTGCCGCGTTACGGCCCTGCGCATCGAATCCCCTAGCTACCATAGATCCTTATTGTATATAAACCAATCAATATATATACATTTCAACCATTGTGAATCTGTTCCGTGCCCTCAAATCCATGTATGGGAGCGGAAATGTGAGATGGGGAACTAGAGTTGAAATTTCTTCCACATCATCATCAACACCATGTCAGAATTCATCATTCCAAACCTCCCGAACCCTTTAAGTTTATCTTAAGATGTATTTCTGTCTTATCTTTGTAGTATTTGCTTTTATCGCCCAAGAGAATTTGATGGAGCTAAGGAAGGAGGCTTGTGGCCACCATTATGACTATCAAAAATAGCCACCAAAATAGCCACCAAAAGAGGTCTACTTCAACCAAATATTTATCACAACATCTTCCACAAAGTAGAACCTAATAACAAAGAGCAGTTGAATTATATTTGGGCTGCAGAATCTACAGCAACTATATGCGTTTGGCCATAGCCCGTAGATAGGTCTATGACGGCTATATAGAACTTTAGTGGCCTCCGTACTGGTTTTCTGCCTCTGGTACAGGTTCTTCATAACTAAACTGACAAAACCTCATATACAACAGCTATGGGATTCTAAATAGAATAATCAGGGAAATATTACCAATTCTATGCGTTCTATGAGAATCTATGTAGCCTATGGAATCCATAGCTCGGCTAGAAACAGATGATCAACCCTACACCATCACGACTCTACACCACCGCCGCTCTCAACACATCTCGAATAAAGTTAGATACGCCCTGCGATACCGGAATTCCCGTATGAAAACTTTATGCTGGAGGAGATGCGTCAAGAGTATTTTGAAGATTTCTTGATGGCGCAGGTTGGAATTCAATCTTTACGATTCGAGTTTCCGTATTTAATTCTTCGAAAGCGAAATGAGGCATGCTAATTCTACATATTCGGAAATACGTCCAAATACGATCTAGTTATCTTCGGTGCAGTTCCTCTAGCCGAGTTGGAAGGGTTGACTTAGTTTCGATTTGGACTTCTGATCAAAACTCTCCATTCTCGTAGGAACACTCCCAAATCGACTCGGCCAGTTCCCTACATCCATATTACGGCCGGCAGGTTCTATGCGCCAAAATATACATGAGATTTGGCCAAGTCGTCTTCAGCGCAGTTTCTGGAGCCATATTGAAGGGTTGAGGTTGTACTCAAATTCAGCCTGTATCATTTACAATAATCAAGAATTATGGAATAAATACTCCATCGAGGCAGATACACCTTGGCTCCTGGATTGAGATGTGCGGGTTCCACACATCCGCAGATGTATGAAATACGGCTAGGTCGTCCTCAGCGCAGTTACTAGAGCTGAAATGGAGAGTTGAGGTTGCTCTGGAATCTATACTTCAGAATGCGGGAAACAGCATCATATCGACGTACACATTTTTCGACACACAGAGGCTCAAGTGCGCAGATTGTTTGTTATGGTAATTGCCTGAATTATGCCCAAGTCTTCGTCGCTATTTCTCGAGCCAAATCGGAGGGTTGAGGCTCGCACGCCAATTAGGACCCTCTATGGATGCTCAATACTAGCTAACTCGCTTTCAAGATTAAAACTAACGGCCGTTGAGTCTATCTTTTGGAAATACGTCCAGATATGTTTGAGGTGTCTTCGACGCGATTCTCGAGCCCAATCGAAATGTCGAGGTTGCGCCCAAGTTCACACTCCAGTAACGCCCCTCTCCTACACGGCCTATACGGATTACATATTCCCGGACATCGCGATTCAGGTAGGCAGCTCTGAACACATCGAGACAGGCTCCATTACGTGCCTGGAGTATTTGGTATAATTGCCCAAGTCGAATTAAAAGGTTGACACTGCACCTAGGTTCCCGCTTCAATACATTTTCATTGTTCGCCCTATATTAACTCTGTCGTTCTTTAATATCTCAACCTAGGTCAAATACGTGCCAAAAGTCTTCGACGCAATTTCTTAAATGTAATTAAAGGGTCAAAAAATGCTTCAATTTTCAAACTTCAAAATCATAACTCTTTCAAAGACTCAACTAACTAGTGCGTAACGAAACTCGGCCATATTCCAATGCCAAATTCCAGTATCTTATACACTCTACAAAGTTCAACGCCTTAATTTTAGTGCATTCATTTTAACATGTATTCGAAAGTGTTGGTTATACAGCTGCAGCTCTCGTTGGACCACGTATCTTGTCATAGACCACCTCTACGAGGGGATCCAACAACTCTCTCTCTAGTATATAGACCATAGCCCCTCCACAATACAATCTTCAGCTCCCTTTCCATGATTTGCATCAGCTACTGCTCTAGCTGACAGAAAGGTCCAAAAGTTCAAGTTCAAAAGTCTCCCTTGACAATTGTTTCTATGAAAGGAGAGGCTCTATATATACTTAAGAAGAATAGCAAAGAACCTACTAGACGCTCCTAATCAGTTCAACACCAAGCAACTCTAGATTCGTGTGAGTTCGACAATGTGAAATTCAGGCACGAGCCCTTCGATATCATAGTCCCACTCGAAAACGCATCGACGCGCAAACGTCAGCTCACTGAGGTACGTTTTAAGCCATAGAATAATAGATGAGGAATAAATTGATGAGAACCATACCAAGATGGCGTTGAAAGTGTAGGTGCATTATGCGTAATTCTTGCTTGTATACAAGGCCGGCTAGAGAAGATACAAGATCATGGGTATTGGAGTGCGCGAGAGATTGCGAAAATACTGATGGAAATAGTACATGGTGATAGGTGCATTATAAGTCGGCTTGAAACTCGGAAAGTACTTCTGAGCCCAGAAGCGGTATTGGGATAATTTACCCCCTTAGATCTCGTCCGGCAATGGCTCATTCAACGGTAACGCTATGTTGACGAGGACTTCTCTCAGCAGCAGGCAGGCAAGCGTGTCGGCGTGAGATGAAGCGGCCGATGGAGGGCGAAACGGGAGCTGAATTCGCAGAATGATTTTGCAGAGGATCCATTGTGATCAGCGTGATACTGTAATAGCAGCGCTGTATTTCCCGGGAGGTGAGCGGGAATTGCGGTATTTAAAGGGCTGATCTATGGGATATATTCACTGTTCATGCTTATTTTGGGTCGGCACCGTTATCAAGGAAATATCTGAGAATACGAATGCCCAGAAGGCCGGCAGCTCTGGTGATTTGAGGATGGTCTGATCTGTGTGCTTTGGCTGCGATTTAGACGTATTCCAGGTGTTCGTTGTGTTCGGGGACCCCTGCGAAGCAAATTTGTGAGGTCTCTGGGTGTATAATCTTGAGGATTCGAATTTGCAGGATGAGAATTCGAACTCGCAAGCTGGAGATTGTGAGAGGAGGTACCAAGGAGAGCCATCGCAATGTTGTGAACGAATTTGACCCCCCGGATCTCGAGGGCAGAAGATGTTTTAGGGGAGAAAGATTCGTGAGGTTGCAAAAGTGGTAGAAAGGACCGCTCATGATTCAGAAACCTAACCTTGGAAGCTTTCAACCTACACAGCAAAACCACAAGTTGCATAAGTCTAATATGTTTTCCAGCCGTTATCTATTCCCTACCCGATACAAGTCAAGCGCGTGCGCTGTTTACAACTATATCAATCATGAAAGGATATGAGAAGAGAGCGTGAAATATAACAGAGCTGGCTTGCAATAAAAGTATCATGCAATCATTATTTTATTATGACAGATTCCGAAGAATCGATCATATGTGGACCCAGCTAACCCCTGCGAATAGCCCCGCAAGCCACTCGACTGATTGCCGCAGCCAAATCTCCGTCTAGACATCCATCTACAGAGATGAACTCTTCTGCACCTTCGCAACGATCTTCTCGACCCGGTCGAACAATGGGTGGCTAGCATCCAGCCCGGTGATCTTGGTCGTAGCATCCTTGGCATTCAGTTCCTTCAGTATCTTCGAGAGCTCGAAGCTCTCCTCGTCGCCCTCAACGTTCTGGAAGCGCAAGGCCATCTCGACAGCGCCGAGAAGGTGTTCGCATGAATCGCCCATCTCGGCCAAATGGGCAGCCGGGCCGATGAAGCGCTCATTGCGAGAGAGCTTGCGGAGTGGGGCACGACCCACACGCTCGACCTTATCTTCGAGTGCCGGGTTGGAGATACGCGTGACGATCTTCTCGACGTAATCGTTCTGATCCTCTGTTGTGATCTCGTGCTTGTTAGTAATGAGGTGGGCCGTCTCTCTCAAGCAGTCACGGACAATGTCGTGGATCTCTGGGTCGGTCATTGCATCGTGGATGAGGGGCTTGCCGCGGTTGTAGCCGTAGTACGCGGCCGTGGCGTGGGATGTGTTGACGGTGAAGAGTTTACGCTCGATGTAAGGCTGGAGATCATCGACGAAATGCACGCCCTTGATGTCGGGCTGCACGGCGCCCTCGAAGGGAGGATGCTCGACACACCATTCGAAGAACTTCTCGATCTTGACATTGAGACCCGCATCGGGGTCCTGGTGCGGCACGATACGGTCAATGGCCGAGTTGGCGAAGCGTGCCTTCGTGTCGAGTATATCAAGCGTATGTTTGTTCAGCTTCGTCTCGATGTAGCTGGTGATGAAACTTTTCCAGGTTGTCGTGGCGTTGATGGCGTTTTCGCACGCAATGACAGCGAGAGGATAGTCCAGCGTGCGAGCCTCAATGCCCTTTGCAACTGGCTCGGCGATGAACTTGAGAATGTTGGGGCCGACAGCGCAGGTTACAACGTCGGCAGTTGCAATCTCCTCAACCACCCTTGCCATCTCGTATTTGCTGTTGATGGCACGGTAGTG